TCGACGTGAAGCCTTGTTACTCTAGAAGGTCGTTATCAACATAACATCAAGGTCATTCCATTGAAACGAACATGACGCAGAAACAAAGAACACTTGCAGAAAAATGAAGTTCCATTGCAGTCAAAAAGGGGATTTTGCATCCCCAAGCATACAAAAAGTTAACTGTACAAAGTTGCAAAACAAACTCGGGACATAGAAGTTTCCAGATCAACGGCTGCTGACGACCCTCGGCTTATGTCTCCCCTGCTTCTCCCCCACTGAGGCCTCCACGCCTTCTTTGTATTTCCAACCCCCCAAAATCTCGTTTAGCTCGGTGTCATGCACTCCAGTAATGATTGGGGACGGAGGAGAGGAAAGATCATCTGTAAGTTTGGCAGGTGGCAAAGACAAGAGGGTAGGAGAAGACTGGTCAGAACTATTGTTAAGTGTGATGGGTTCATTCCCACCTTCNATACATTCGGTCGTTAGGGGTACGGCCTCGAGGGATGTAAGGCTCCACTTTTGGAACAGTGCCTTTAAATTATTAACACGAGTCACATGCTCGGTCATTAGGGATACGACCTCAAGGGATGTAAGACTCCACCTTTGAAGTAATGCCTTCAAATTATTAACACGAACCATGCACTCGATCGTTAGGGATACGGCCCTGAGAAATGCAAGACTCCACATTTAGAGCAATGCCTTCAAATTATTAACAAGCCACGCACTCGGTCGTAAGGGCACAGCCTAGAGGGATGTGTATACTCGGTCCCAAGTGGTACAGAGACCCAGAAATAAGTTCAACGCGTTTACTAGGAATCTCATAGATTCGACGTGAAGCCTTGTTACTCTAGAAGGTCGTTATCAACATAACATCAAGGTCATTCCATTGAAACGAACATGACGCAGAAACAAAGAACACTTGCAGAAAAATGAAGTTCCATTGCAGTCAAAAAGGGGGTTTTGCATCCCCAAGCATACAAAAAGTTAACTGTACAAAGTTGCAAAACAAACTCGGGACATAGAAGTTTCCAGATCAACGGCTGCTGACGACCCTCGGCTTATGTCTCCCCTGCTTCTCCCCCACTGAGGCCTCCACGCCTTCTTTGTATTTCCAACCCCCCAAAATCTCGTTTAGCTCGGTGTCATGCACTCCAGTAATGATTGGGGACGGAGGAGAGGAAAGATCATCTGTAAGTTTGGCAGGTGGCAAAGACAAGAGGGTAGGAGAAGACTGGTCAGAACTATTGTTAAGTGTGATGGGTTCATTCCCACCTTCGGCCTTGACCGACCCTTCTACCTAAACTTGGTCACCTGGGTTGGCTCAGACTTGTTCGTCCAGGGCTTCATCATTGGCCTCCCTTCAAAGGTTGTGCATGGCCAACAAGTCCGAGCCTACCTCGACGTGGCAGGCATGAAGGGCAGTATCCCAACCTTCTTTGAAAGTCTTCTTCTTGGCTTTCTCGAAAATAGGGACCATTTGGTCTTGAATGGCCAACCACACCCTCTAACATTCTGACTACAGCCTTTCCTGCTTCTCCGCTTTCTCTGCTGTCAAGGAGTCCACTTTTGTAGTACGTTCATTGATTACCAACTTGGACTCTTGCAGCTTGACTTTGGAGGAGGAGACTCACAGCTCATATTCCTCAGCCTTCTTTATCATCGCAGTTTCACCTACCTGTCTTTTCCAGCTCGGCATGAATGACATCTCGATGGCGGATGAGCTCAACGATGTGTTTGGTCTAGTTGCCGAGGGTCCTCTCGACTTTGAGGATATGGTCGTCCTTAGCAGCTAGGGCTCGTTCGGCGTTCTTCGCCTCTTGTTTGTATTCCCAAAAATGCTCAATTATGGCCCCCATCTGCTGGCTGGCCTGAAAAAGGAGGACTATTAGAGAACGACCAAAAGGGTGCAAGGAATACTCGAAAAAGCATTGGACTTACCACCAAGTTGTTTTGGATAGTACTCATTAGAAGCCGATTGTCTGAATAGCCTTTGTATACGGCCATATCGACATCAAATTGAAACATCCCCGCGACGGCAAAGACCACTTCGGGGGACTAGAGGATGGAGTCGACTTTCAGGATGGGGTGGCGACTTCTAGGATGGGGTGGCCGCTCCTGATCTTGGCCCGAGGGACCCATTCACCCGAGACAGAGGGGCCTGGGACGTCATGCCGCTACTTCACACGGCGCTCCTCACATTGTTCGGCATCTCGAGCCCGTCGGTCCTTCGGCCTATCCCCCGGAGCGGAGACTTGTTGGGATTAAGGCCTTTGTCTGGTTGACACGGCCAGATCCCTGGATAGTTGGGGACGTGGAGACGGCAGGGGTGGTTGACGCCGAGAAAAACTTGGTGGTGGAATTATTGGGGCAGTGTTGGATGGCCCAGCCAACCCGGTGAGCCTGACTCTCCTTGCTGTGGCTGCGGCCTCCATTGTAGCAAAGGTGACTAGTGGTGGATTAAACATTTCAGGTGCAAAGGGCTCAGGAGCTGGATGATCGCACTCTGCTTCAAAATCTCCCTCGGATTCTTTTTCTGCCGACGAGGAATGATCTTCCTAAATAAAAGGGTTGAAGGGAGGTGGGATCTGGGAGAATCGGTTGTAAGTCAGCGTGTAGCTGAGGAAGGTATGCGCCACTCGCTCAACTAGGTCTAAGGACCGAACCCTTAGCAGGTCAGCAAACCAGACTTGGGACCTCAATGGTTAAGCAGCGTCCCAACGATATCCTTTTGCAAAAGCAAAGCAAAATCAGTGTATCCCTCGGGCCCAAGAATAGCAAAATCAATACAAGTCAGGAAGAAAACACACCTTTATCCCTCAGCACTTTGGGACAGTACGATCCATCATACTCTAGCCCTGTCCCTTTCTCCCAACTGCCGCCAAGCATGATCAGATCGTCTACATACCCCTTGTCCGAGTCGGACATGTGAATTACCAGATACTTTGAGGTGTCTCAAGCCTGGAGGTAGTATCTTCCCCCGGCGACTAACATTAGGTCTTAGTAGAATAAAATTTCATCTACTCCTAAGTTGGTTCCCAACCGAGCGTTTAAGGCGAATACGCCCATTACAATCCTAAAGAAGTTAACCCCACATTGAAGGAGAAAGAGCTTCAGTTGAATTAACACTCCCAACAACAGGGGATGGAGAGGAAAGGTCAACCTTCCTTCTATGATGGCCTTCGTCCAGAAAGGCATCATGTCCCCATTTCTTATATCCCTCCTGAGGTGAGTGGGGTTAAAGGGGAAGGCAAAGACAGGTTCGTGGATGTAGTACCTAACCCTAAAAGCTTGGATATTCTCATCAGTCACTTGGGTTCTTTTCATCTTATGGGTAGTCCTAGCCTTAACGGATGTCTCCCCCCTAGTTCTACTAGTTTTGGCCATTGGAGGGTGCTAAAAGGACAAAATATAGAGGAAATGAAGAAAGAAAAAGCTCAAGTGAAAGTACTTACAAGAAGGTGGTCTTCAAAAAGGGAGCTCGAAAAATAAAGAAAACTTGGAGGAGAACAAAGGAGTGTNGGACAAAATATAGAGGAAATAAAGAAAGAAAAAGCTCAAGTGAAAGTACTTACAAGAAGGTGGTCTTCAAAAAGGGAGCTCGAAAAATAAAGAAAACTTGGAGGAGAACAAAGGAGTGTTCAGGGTCTAATTGTTGAAAAGAGGCTGAGAATGCAAAAGTTCTGAGAAGGCATGAATACCTTGTATTTATACTGCCTTACAAGGAACGGGAATCAAAAATTTGGGTCATCATTAGGGCATTTGAAAAAGGCGGTGCCAGACGTGCAAATAACAGTCGCTATTAATAAGGCGTGATGATTGAGCCCCCAATCTCTTTACGCGACTTGTCTTACACTGCGAAAAGGATGACGACTAGGGGCAATTGGCAGGACTCTAGGTGGCTCTACGGCCCCTAGGTTGACACGTGGAATAATGAAGCCGTTGGGATGTCCAAAGGGCGCCAAGGAGGTAAGTCGATGCATGGCGACACGGAGCAGACGAGTACGACAGCTGGCATCGTATTTAATGTGATGTGACCCATCATTTATGACAGAATGAGTGATATTGATAAGACAAATAAATGCGCACCTTGGGATGTCCAAAGGGCACCGAGGAGGTAAGCTGAGGTATGACGACACGGAGCAGCCGAGTACGACAGTTGACATCGTATTTAATGTGATGTGACCCCTCATTTATGACGGAATGAGTGATAGTGACAAGATAAATAAATGCGCGCCTGCAAACACCTACACTCTAGGAGTCTAGGCCTACTGTCATGATGGCTAACCATTAATGGCTGATACGCCGAGATGACATGATCGGCTCCCCCCGAGGAACTGTTTCCCCGAGTATTCAATGCTCAGTTGATGTCAGATGCCGATTTGGGGGATTTGGGTACTCGGGGGAGGGGCATAAATGCTCGGCATTTGACTGAACATTTATCCCATCTTCCTAGTATTTAATATGAGGAGACGTGAGTAAAAAATACTCATTGCACGAGGAATGGTGTGTCAGATGTAAGATATCTGGATGGGACTAGAGATCTTTGGCAATCATTGTTAATTCAGGTATAAATACTCTTCAGAAAAATGGACAAAGATACACAAACTTGAACTAGAAAAAGATTGTTCATTGAACTAAACCCTTCGACCTTAAACTGATTTAAGCTTTAGAAGGGATAAGCCGGGTGCTCACCTGACCCCCTTTTTCTGACTCTGTTGTTTTAGGTTCGCCAGCTTGGAGATCGCTATCTTAAACTATTACAGGAATTATCTTGTGCAAAAAGTTATAATTAGTCTTTTTTGTTATTCTTTGTTAATATACACGATGTATTTTGATTTTTGGCTCTTTTGTGTTTATTGAATTTTTACATATCAAATATAATATAATAAAATATAAATGCATCATATAACTTATTAAAGTGTCCACCCTAAAAGAATTTTCTATCTCCTGCTTATATCAAAAACATGCACACGATTAATATTTTAAGTCCAACACTGCAACACTTTTTGAATTCAACAATGCAGTGGATAATGCACGACTGGAGCGACGAGGATTGTGTCAAGATATTGAAAAACTGTCGAAAAGCAGTACCAGAGAAGACCGGGAAAGTGATCATTATAGATGTGGTTTTGAATCCAGAAGGTGATGGCCTGTTTGACAACACTGGTTTGGTGTTTGATCTTCTGATGATTGCTCACAGCTCGGGCGGAAAAGAAAGGACTGAACCCGAATGGAAGAGGTTGCTGGAGGATGGAGGCTTCCCGCGCTACAAGGTCATCAAAATTCCGGCCTTTCCATCCATCATCGAAGCCTATCCAGAGTGAATTGCAAACTTCAGTACATTTTCTGATGAAACCATGTTAATATCTTGATTTGTACAATAAGAATCAGTATCTGCATAGATACAGAATTGTGGACATATTGGAGAATGCTAATGAAGTGTGTGAAACCCATATCAGAGTGTTAGAATCTAAAGCAATGAGGATCAGAGTCCAAAACCCCATGGCAAATTGGCACCCAATGATGCACCGAACAAACAAAATTGTTGGATCAGTCAAGCTACTTTGGTGCTACCATTTGTCCTAAATTCAAGTTTTGCCCTAAATTCTCTATGTTTCAGAATATTAGGTGATACGAAGTTTAAATGATCCAAAAGACTAATCGGCCCATCTAAGGCACCGGTTTGACAAGTTACCGGGTTGACTGATCGGTCCAGGCCAGTTATAATAACTATGGATGCAAGAGACTTTAGTCTTAGCTTCATATTTTTAGTGAAAAAATTATTGGATTTTTTTTGGGTGTGAGTATATTTTTTTTTATTCTTATTTGAGAGGAGGTGGATAGATAAGTATTTTAATTTATTAAGTTCATTTTATTAAAACATCTTGTGATTGAGTACAAAATTCAAATGACATTTGAATTTTTTTTACATATTTATCCTTTCTTAAATTTTGCATAATCTCTCCATCTCTCTCTCTCCCCTATTTTCTCTTCATCTCTCTCTCTCTCATTACTCTCCCTTATTTTCTCTATCTCTATCTCCCATTAATAATTTTTTTTTTCAAATATGTAAATATTTGATTTGATTTTTCATCTCTCTCCCCTATTTTCTCTCTCTCTCTCTCTCTCCCTTATTTTTTTCACCGTTACTCTCTCCCCCTATTCTCTCCTCTCTCTCTTTATATCAGCATTACAACAACACAATTACACTAATTAGATACAATTGTATTATAATATACCAAACAATTATTCATATGTTCTAATAAACCAAAAAATTTCACCAAATAATTACACAAAATTATGATACCAACTTAATTTGTCATTCAGTTGTTTACAAAAATCAAATAGTTGCACCATTTAGTATCACAACATGGTTACACTAATTAGATTCACCAAATTTGGTATAATGGTAAAATCTTTTGTGTAATGATAAACCCAATTTGGCTTACATAATTTGTGTAAATATGTTGTGGTACTAAATAGTGTAACTGTTTGGTTTATGTGAATAACTAAATGACAAATTGAGTTAATGTTGTAATTTCGTGTAATTGTTATTGTAAATGTTTAGTTTATTAGAACATATGAATAATTATTTTGTGTATTATAGGGTAATTGTAACTATTAGTGTAACTGATTGGTGTAATTATATTTTTGTAATGTTGATATAAGAAGAGAGAGAGAGAGAGAATAAAGAGAGAAATAATAACAGTGAGAGAAAATAGAGGAAGAGAGAGAGAAACTAGGAGAGAGAGATAAACAATTAAATCAAATTTTTATATATTTGAAAAACAATAAATTATCAATGTGAGAGATAGATCGATAAAGAGAAAATAGGAAAAAAAAGAGTGAGAGAATAACGGGGGGAGAGAGAGAGTGAGACAATAATGAAATAATAATTGACTTTTTTTGTCTTTTTTCAAGAGGCCAAATAAGTTTTCTTAATATAGTTTATCTCAATTAAATTCAAATTTTTGTACCGATTTCTAAATTATCTTAGATTATTTTGTCTGGCAGGCTCATTTCCTAAATAGATTGGGCTTAAAACTTTGTTAAAACGGATGGAGCTACGACCTAAGTTGTGAAAAACAGAAATTTGGGAAATAATCGGATTCTAAAAATTTTACTTGTTCAAAGAAAGGATAAATAAACTATTGTCGTGCTCAATTTGTTCATTACAGGAAAAAAAATCTGAATGTCTTTGAAATATACAGTCTATAAGTTGAGGCTCTACGTTAAGCAAAATGTGTTTATTCAAATAGCCGAGTCATTCACATTTAAGTACAAACTACGATCGATAAAATTTAGATTCAAGTATAATCTTAGATTAATCGGAGATTGTACTTAAAATAACACAAAAATAAAGTACCATGTGAAAATATTTTATGAAATGAATTTGGACTTTCCCTTTGATGGAAGAATTGGGAGAATTATGCAAAAGATTTGGAAAACAAATTTGGAGAATTTTGTTACTAACCCAGTTGTATTGAAATACATTCGACAGGTTAAGGGCCGGGCCACTATCCCTCTGATGGATCATCCACTATGAAAGTGGACAAGAAAGAGAGTTTAGAGCTTCTCAGACTTTACATTAGGCCGACTTGAAACTGACTTGTTTGGGTGCGAAACATAGGTTAAAAAAATAAAATAAAATAAAGTGGTTTGGGTGTGCTTCTGAAAAAGCTAGTTATTTATTGAAAGTCCTTCGGTAAGCCTCGTTTTTTAGTTGTTTTTTTTTTTTGTGCTAATAAAAGTTGTTTTCATTCAAAAACTGATAAAAAAAAAAAGCCGTCCAATAAGCTCAAGTTCAAACGGACTAGACTTCTTTTCTTCTAAAACAAAAAAAAAAAAAAAAACTGAAATTTTAAGGTAGCTCCAAACAAGCCCATTATAAGATTTGGTATAGTTTGATGTTGATTATTAAGGCTAGTAATTCTCACACCCATCTGACCCCCAAAAAAAATCTCAAGCCCAACATGAACATGGCAGATATTAGATTATTTTTACTAGATCGGGATCATACATAAGTGTTAACTTGTTAGACCCATTGAATTTAGTAAATAAGTCGACACAAAATCAGTTAAGCATAGTACAAACTTAGAAATTCAAACCGACTCAAATAATAACTGATTGTATTTAGCCATTCATTTTACCAACAAAAATACGACTTGTACATAACACAAATTCAACATGATGTGAAAATGATTAATTATTGTTTGGACCAAAAATATAAATTTATCAAAATATTCGTGCAACGGCAGCTGGCGAATTTGAAAGCATTAAGAGGAGATCACGTGGCAGAATCTGAAAAAAAAAATGAGAAATGATCGGCCACAACCTTATTTGAAAATAACATAACTGACTGGGAGTTAAAAGTCAAATAATTGTCGGTAGATACAAAACCGTCGAAGATAGTGATTATAAAAAGCAAATAAGGAAAAAATTGAAAGATAAATTCAAACCCCTACAAAACTCACGATCTTGACATTTTTTTTTTCAATCTAGACATTTTTAAAAATAGTGTTAAGTTAATTATAGAAAATAGTTACTGTTGTAATCAAGACTGTTAATTCTATCTTTCTATTGGATTAATAAATGATTCTCTTTTATTACTTCACAGTTTTGTGCGTTTATCACTTTAAATGTCATCCAATTAAGTCCTGAAATATGACAATTAAATTGATCACTAACAATCGCCTGAAAATTATTTATCGATTAAGTACCCTCTGTCAATAACAACAGATTTTCGAGTAACTATTATATAGGTATACTAGTAATTACTTGTGACTAAAGACACTACGTTACTCATAAAAAAATGTAAATATTTGTTCATAAATAAAGATAATGTATAATATAATTTCAAAAATACAATGATCAAATTGACATTATTCAATCAGTATACTGAACATATATAATCAAACTTTTATATGACGAAAGTCACGCTACAATTACTGCAACATATTAATTCCGATATCTGAGAAAATATAATTATTATTGATCAAACATCCACGATTTTAACATTTCTAATAAATTTTTTCTCAAATTTCAAAAAATATAACTATTAATTTTTCTACGGTTTTTTACCTAATGTTTATAACATTATTTCTACACCATTTTTTCAATGTGAGTTCGTATAACTTTTTGTGAGTAAATCATCCAAAAGTTTCACGCGAATTCTCGTAAATGTGAAAAAAATTGTTGATAAATTAAGATCAATTTCCATTTGAGTCCAACTTGAATATTTGTAAAATTTAATCGAATTTAAGTTTAAGTAATAATTTATACTTTATACTCGACAGTCAAATTCAGTTTAATTTGAGTTTTAATTATAATCACGTCAAATCGAAAATTGAATTTAAGTTCGACTCAATTAAAATTTCTATCTTAAACCTACAAACTAGAGGTGCAACTCGGGCAGGTTGGATGGGTTGGACAGTCAACCCTACCCAAACCCTAGGTATATAATCTTCAACTCAAACTATACCTCGATTTGATAAACTAAACCAAAGCACGGTCCTAGTTTAATTCGGGCGGGCTAGNTCTTCAACTCAAACTGTACCTCGATTTGATAAACTAAACCAAAGCACGGTCCTAGTTTAATTCGGGCGGGCTCGGGTTGAATTTGGGTTAATAATTTTTGGCTGATTTCGGATTACTTTACGGACTAATTTTGGGTTAATATTCTTAACCTGATACATATATTACATAAGATTCAAATAATTTAACAAACAACAACTTCAAATATAACACAAATATAATACATAATTTAATAGAACATAAACATAACATTCAAATATATTACATAACATCCAAAAATTGTATTTATATAACAGTAATTCGGGTTAAAACTGATTATTAATTCGGGTTAACCCCGATTTTAATATTCAGGTTCAACCCGTGAACCTGAGGGGTCAACTTAAGGCCTGCTCAAATTGAATTCGAGTTGAGGTTTTTTTGACCCAAGTATGAAAAATCCTTGTCCAAACCCTAATTTTTTTGGATTGGACTCAAGTTGAAATCGAGTTGTCCAACCTAAGTTGCACCCTTACTACAAACTAATTATTTTCTATTCCCATTCATAGCGACATCATAAATTTTTTTATTTAATTATTTTTTATTATTTTTACACTCAATTTCAATTTGACTTAAACTTGAATATTTGTAAAATTCAAGCAAAGTTAAATTTAATGAAGAATATATATACTTTATACTCGACAATCAAATTCAACTCAATTGATATCTTAATCATAATCCCTTCGAACCAATAATCGAATAAAATGAAAGGATTATTGAAATTTTTGGGTGGAAAAAAATTTTAGGGGAGTTTTGATCGTTTAATCAATAATCTTAAAATAATTTGAGCTACGAAAAACTCAAGACAAACAATGTTAGCTCCCTTATTATATAGATATATCACAAATTACATATATATTATTTGTCTATTATACCATTTGAATATTATAATATTTTTATTTCAATACAAAACATGACTTATATTATAATCGCTTGATTCATTTTTACGCTAAAAATATGTATTTAAAAACCATTTATTTATTTGAAATTTTTAAAAATAATTATTAATCATATAG